AGTAAGTGATGTATTCTCTTCCATCTCGGTGAATATTAAATAATTAATATATAATTATCTTCTATTTTTATTTCAAAGATTAATAACGATCAGCATATAAAAACTATTTCATTACTTTCTAATGAATGCTGTAATATCGAGCATCATTTTTACTATTAATTCATAAAAGTATATTCATCTTTAATGTGGATATGTCTAACAATCATTATTATTTATCATATAAAAATTCTACATATTGAATCTCGACGAAAAAAAGGAGTTCAATTATAAATAAAAAGATTTCGTTTTAGTAAAGGAAATTCTTAATCGAATATTTATCATGTAGTTTTTTGCGTACTGAATAAACTGTTGTGTGAGTTTTTCTGTGATAAAAATATTTGTCGTTTTGAGCTGAAAAAAACTTGTGCGTCATACTTTTTTTTCCTGTTATAAAAAATATATAAATACGCATGTATAAATAAGTATATGATCATGATAAATTAGTGAACATCAATGATTTAATTCGTTTATCATTAATGTAATGCGGAATTCCTGTTTTTGTTTTCTTTTATGATGTACCGCCAGTAATGAATACATATAAATCTATTAATCATACGCATGAGAATGATGTTTCAGTATTTATTACTGTTATTCTTTGAACAATTTCAATATTAATAATGAGAATTTTTTTGATTATTGAACATGTCGATACTTATTTTTATATTACAGTTGAAGTTGTTAAAGGTATTGACTATTGATAGACTAGTAAAAGAATTTTCTATTAAAATAATTGTCATTCATATATGTTATTTTTATTAAGTCATTTATTATTTATTTACGATTTCGTTAAACAGTAAAAAACTAAATATTTTATTGTCATTATACGATATCACTCTTTTTTTGTGTAAATGTTGTATCTGAAATATAAAATAAAATTCGATATTTATTCTATGATGAATTATGAAGAATGACATGTTCAGTTTTCTTAGGTCTATATAAACTTCTAAAGTGATATTTCATATTACTCACTATTAATTTTAACCAACGCATGATCATGACGTACCAATTGAAGTGGTAATGCATGATTAGGTATTGCTTCTTGTTGTTTTAGTTAAAAGATGTTCAAAAGCTTATGGTATAATCCAATTTTTGCAATGGATTTAGGGGTTTATTATTAATCTACATCTGCAATGAACTATGGTGTGGGTGTGGGTGGGTGTAGGTAAGGGTGTGAATGTGAGAGCGGTGGTGTCTCAAATCTACTGTGTCGATCACCCATCCAGATCCACACCCTGTCTTTCTTTCACTTGTTCATTTTGAAAGAAGACCCTTTCTGGATTGAAAATATTTTAATCACAGATGCTAATTACTGGCAAAAATTATAATTCGAACAATACACACTGATTTTCTATAGATCTTGTAATAGAAGACTGTTTATTATTATTTATTATACAGTAGTAGCATATTACAATTTTTATTCTACTACGTTTTAGTTAATCATATCCAGAAATACATATTTATAGCAATAGTTTCTCATTGAAATTGATTCATACTGATGTGTGATATAAGTACATAGCATACGGTGAAAAAGACAGTTGTCATAGTAATTCGAAGACAAAAAACTTCCAACGTAGAGTAGCTCATTATGATATCTATAGAATTCCCTTTGAAAATTATTCATTTGAGATTACACTTGACTCTCGTTGTTCATTTAAAGCGTATGAGATGAACAGAATAGAAAAAGAAAAAAAGCTCTGCGCAGTATATCAGAAAAGAAACTTTGGCCAATAACAAACAAATCTTTAATAAACCATAAGAGTAGAAAAACAGAAAGCTGATTTCTTCTTTTCCAGGAGGGGATGTGGCTGTGGGTGCTGAGTAATTTCACACTCACGTTCTCAGGAATTCCACCCAAGAAAGTAACTAGTCTCTCTGGATTGCCTTGGAAACTTTCTACCTTCTAGCGATGTCTCAATTAAAACTTTTGATTATTGAATGAAAACACGAAAGTATTTCATTTTCAAGAATGATTAAAATTTTGTGCAAAGAAAAAATATATGTTTCAGATGGCATTGACTTTTGAATGATGGTAATGATGATAAGCAAAAAAAAA